CAAAGTCCTCCACCAGGCTCCTGTACTCCCCCTCCTGTCCATCCCTACTGCACCCCACAATTGCTGTGTAGTCTGAACATTTCTGCATGTTAGTATAGACCAGGTAATAGTTTATTGTAAGGAACCTGCTAAGTATGGGGATTAGGGTGATTTGGGTGAAGCTGACTTGGGGAAGCAATAAAAAAGGCCAATAGGATGTTGGGTTACATCTCTAAGTGCGTGGAGTTTAAGTCAAGGGAGGTGATGCTAAGATTATACAATTCCTTAGTGCGACCCCACCTAGAATATTGTCTGCAGGTTTGTTCACCATACCTTAAGAAGGACATTGCTGCCTTGGAAAAGGTGCAACAGAGGGCTACAAGAATGATTCCTGGTCTTAGAGGAATGTCTTATGAGGAGAGGCTAGCTGAGCTGAATCTGTGCAGCTTCGAGCAAAGGAGACTAAGGGGGGACATGATCCAGGTATACAAGATTCTAACAGGTCCTGATGCTGTTCAGCCAAATGGCTACTTCAATATTAGTTTAAGTACTAGAACTCGTGGCCATATGTGGAAATTAGCAGGAGAATATTTTACAATGAACTTGAGGAAGCACTTCTTTACAGTGTGTAGTTAGAGTATGGAATAGTCTTCCTGCTAGTGTAGCGGAAGCTAAAACCCTGGGTTCCTTTAAATCAGAGCTAGATAAGATTTTAACAACTCTGAGCTATTAGTTAAGTTCTCCCCAAACAAGCTTGATGGGCTGAATGGCCTCCTCCCATTTGTAAATTTCTTATGTTCTTACCATTGGCCCCAAATTTCCAAATGGCACAGAACGGCAAAGCTCTGAGTTGGCCTATTTCCAACACCATTGACTTTCAGGGGGTAGACCTCTGCTTGCTTTAGTGGAATCAAAAAGTATTTTTCATGAAAAAATACAAAAGTACACCAAACAGGTCTCTCTCTAACGAGGTTTAATCAAGCATTCCAATTAACAGAATGAGTGACACCCCACAACAAATAGTGACTACTAATCAGTTATTTTTTTAAATAATGCTGTCAAAAGCACAGATTTATGATGACACACAACACTAAATGGAATGTCTTTATTATCCATCCATCCATCCATCCATCCTGCATACTGGGGGTCCAGAGCCTGTCCTGTAAGCCAAGGACACTTGGCAAGGAATAACCCAAGATGGGGCACCAACCCACCACAGTGCCTTAATTATGTATTGTTTCAATGACACACTGAAATTTAACCAGCACACCTCCATGAATCACGGCTCCAGGAAAACTCTCAGCACATGTGCAAGTATGATGATGCAACAGCTGACCAATGGCATCCCCTACTTTCTTTCAAAACACAATTATTAAAGCACAGTAAAAT